TAAATTACCGCGGACTGAGCAAACATCAGCCTGACCCGAAACAAATCCACAATGGGTCAAAGACTTTAAAGTTGCATCAGACGAAGATTGATCTGAATCGAGAACATCATTCTCAAAAATGTTACTTAAAGAATTTGCAACAACATTAGAAAAAACTACACCTTGATCTTGCCCTTCCTCGCGGCCGGCTAGTCATTTTCCTGCACATGGCTTGGGAGTTAGCAAGGGACACTGCGCCCTCCAGTGACCTGGCTTATTGCATGTGAGGCAAGAACCTGGCTTGATTTGACTCCTGAACTGCCTGTCTAACGTTGGAATAGGTCTCACTGCTGAACTGGAATCTGTAACGGAATTGCTTGGGATCGGTAGACTTTTAGGAAAGTCCCGTCTGACAGGAGCAAATCTTGATTTGGATTTCAGAGCATTCTGCTTGGCTTGCGATCTTGCTCTCGCTTCTGCCCTGATAATTTTCTTTTCGTCATCCGAGTCATCAGCGAGGTCATTCTTTTTATATTCCTGAATGATCATCCATCCAAAATCTGATTTATCGGCTAACAGAATGTGCTCTTGTCTCTCAGCAAACAAACTCTCACCTTTATCTAGTGATTCTTTGACCTTGTCAAGCTGCTGAGACGAGCATGACGACTTGTCCTCGGTTAACACATCGCTCAGCTTCGAATTAAATCTGTACTGGTCCTCGTTCGCCTTCTTTTTAAAGCGCCGCGGCTCCTCAAACTTCAGCTTCTTTATTTCCCTGAGATGGGAGTCAGCAGACTCGGAATTGGCTCTCTTGATATCGGATAAAGACTCATTTAGAATGCGTTTCATCGAATCGACAAGACTGTCGTTGTTGCTGGCAATCACCGTATCCACGATGTTAAGAACTTCAGACCGCTCCATGGTAGGAGAACAGAATAAATAAAAAATTATAGCGAGTGGTGTCGGCCTAGAATGATTGCCTACGTGTAATCCCAAGCTTAAATACTCACACGCCAATACCCATGATGCAACTACATTAAAAAGACCCAGGCCCACGGCCTGCTGCTCCCGTGCCGCAGAAATATCTAATTTCAGGCTAATTCGTAGCGACTCAATCGCCAGAAATTTCATTTTTACTGCTTTCTCAACATAGCTTGAAGTTATCTATTGCATGCTGATACACTTTATAATAAAGCTTAATGTAGAATAAATAAAGAACAAAACATTCTTGTCTCAGATTTCTGTCTTATTTTAATTTGGTTCGCCCGCGCCGCTTCTGTACGCTGATAATAGAAAATTGTCAAACTACAGTGTTTTTTCTTTGGCTGTTGTTTATTTATTGTACATGTAAACTATTTATCTTCCTTTATCGATGACTACGTGTGGCAAATGCACTAAGCTAAGCGATCAGTTTTCACACCCAAAAGATCAAGACATTTGCAACAAATGCTTTCACGCACACACGTGCTCTGACTCATGTTTTCATCCCTGACTCATGATTTGGGCACTCCGAAGCAATTGCTCGATTCTAACCGTCTAAGTCTTAATGTCCTCAAGACTAAATGTCTCTTTGCTCCCTAGCAATCCACACATATCCGTTGACGGGCATTCAATTGAAAGAGTCAATAGTTACAAATGCCTAGGCGTTCAGGTTGATGAAACACTCTCATGGGAGGCTCACATCTCTGAAGTCATCGGTAAAGTTGCAAAAGTACTAGCTCTCCTGACGAGGCTAAGACCCTTGTCACCATTTACAAGTCATTGATTCTTCTGCATCTCTATTATTTCAGTGCTGTCTGGGGCTGTATCGGTAATGGTCTCAGCCAAAAACTAGAGAAACTACAAAACAGGGCTGCACACATAATCACAGGGTCTAGCTGGGATGCCAGCTCTGCTCCGATTCTTCATGCCCTTAAATGGGATAGCCTCGCTGACAGACGAGCAAAGCAGCTGAAATCTTTAATGTTTAAAACTGTAAATAACCTTGTACCCGAATACCTGTCTGATAAATTCGCCAGCATTAATACCATTCACAGGCATAATCTTTGAGGTACGCAACATAACCTGCTTATTCCGCGACCGAACACTGAGGCCCTAAAGAAAAGTTTTCGTTATAGGGGCACAGTGAAATATCCTCACTGCACACCTATTACCCCGTCACGGAGAACTAAGTTATGGAAAGATGCCACGACTGTTAGAGCAAAAGGCGTGCCAAACATAGCGTAAAGGCGAAGCCAACCGCCACCAGGGGAGGTGGGAGAGGCGAAACTTAAACGCCACTTTCACCGAACTCCGTAGAACTGGCCAGGAAGCGGCTAAAACCGAGCTATTTGAAGCGAGGGCCGCAAGGCATCATGCGCGGCAGCACGCAGGCCCGGCAGGACGGAATTTAACTGATTTAAATCTTCCCGTGCTATGGGCTAATTATGTATGCAGTGAGAATAGTAAAATATCCTCACTGCACACCTATTACCCCATCACGGAGAACTAAGTTATGGAAAGATGCCGCTCCTGTCTCAGACATAACGCTGCCTAGGCCCAAATGAGGCACAGAGGACAACGAGATAACCAAAGAACTAGATCTCCAAACATCTTTATTCTCCATTACTCAAAAAACCCCAACCTATCCTAGTCCTACACAAAACTGAAAAGCGAGAGCCGTAATACTGCAAACACAGCAAAACAAAATTCAGACAGCCGCCTGCAAATTATCTGGATGTAAAACCGGGGTAACTGTCCCAGAAGTTGCCCTTGGGAAAACCTTTTCTAGAAGCATAAGAGATACAGTAGCGTCCGAGCCCTGCATATACCGCTTGGCGACCTCCCCACTTTTACAACCCAGGTAATGAGCAATGTCCTCCGAAGAACAACCTAGCAGCTTGAAGGTATTGGATAGGCCCACCCTAAAGCTATGCAGAGTTTCCCCGCCATAAAGTTTAGCCTCCGAAAGATGCTTCCTAAGCCTGTTGTTCAGAGCAGAGCCCGTAAAAGGCTTGCTCCCTATCGATCTGCTACGCTCTGCGGTCCAAAAAAAGTACCCTGATCTAAAGGCACCTTGAGGCATTGACAAACCGTGATGTAATACTGAATCCATGCGACTGGACAAACATCAGAGTGAGCGAATTTAATCAAAGTGAGAGAGCGGGAGGATCCCTTGCGCAAATTCTTGGTGAGGGTAAATCTAAGCAAAAAACCCTCCCGGTCTCTTAACCGAAACACGTTACAAGATTGAAGGCAGCCGAGGTCCGAAGCCCTATCGCCAGTGAAAAATTCCACAATGAAAAAGGTAGCATCCCTTGCAAGGATGTATTCACCCACGCTAGAAAGGGATACGCTGCTGGAACACAAATCCCTGAGATGAGCAATTAACCGCTGAAATTTCCCGAAAAATAATGGGCCCGCTTGAGAAGGTGTAATAGCCAAACCCGCCAGCTCTTCCCTAACAAACTTTAAGTAATCCTTAACTAGGGGATGGGTAACAGGGTTGAAGTCGTTAGCGCGCCCCAGCTTATTGAAAATAGCTCTCAAACAACTGAGAGTGGAGTCAACTGACCCTGCTGCTAAGCGTTTCAGACAACTACAATCCCTTTTAGAGCACGAGAGCGAGTGAACCACAGTTCTACCTGACTTATCCTTAGAAATAAGAAATTTAACAATGTCTTGTGCAGTATATGACGTTACAGTCCTCGGGGGAGAGAGAGCACCCGGGAACTTGAAAAGTTGCTGCTCCAACGCTGATTTCTGTCGTTTGTAAGGCTTTGAGCGGAAAACAGACTGAAATTCATCGAAACGCTCCTGGATCGCAGTTTCGTCAACAGGAGGGACGGGCGTAGCAGTACATTGAGGTCTTGTTAAAGTACCACAGGCTTGGCAATAATTTGCATCCGAATCATTGGGGTAAAGGCAGGCAGAACAGCAACGGGCGGGCTTCCATGGACGCGCCACCTAAAAAGATGCAAACTGGTAAATTTAGCAAACACAGCAGAAAGCCCATAAATCCCACTGCAAGTTCCTTCGAGACCATCCTTGACCGCCCTGAGAAGGGTACCACAAAATGGAACCCTCATTCTTCCTTCCCAATAGAGCCCGATCGACAGCGAGTGACTGCAGCAACGCCCACCAGAAACGCTGAGGCTTCAAGTCAGGGACTACAATAGTAAACGCGCCGTGAAAATCCTGCTCCAAGACGTACTTTAGCAGGGGGGCATAAGGACAAATGGGGGAACTCATAGATATTGTGATCCAAGGGAAGAGAATGGGTGAAGACGTTGGTACCGCTAGATTCTGGAGTTGCACAAGGCGTAAAATGAGGCAAGCACAGACCTACCCTATTGCCTTGGCAGTTACTATCCAAGGACATGAGATTGAATGTGTGGCGCCCAAAAAGACGTTCGACTTGCTCCCAAGCGCTTTTTGACAACATACAATCTGTATCCGATCGGCTTTGAGAAGGGAGGTCAGCCAGATTTTCACCTGACGGAACGTAGTAAACATCAAGACTAAAATTGCTTTCCCTGCAGGAACGAAAAAAGTCTTTAAGAACGCCGTTAACTTCGGAGCTCCTGCAGCCTCCATTCTCCAGCGCAGACTTCAAGACGCGGTTGTTGGTGTAGACGTCCACTCTTGAAGAGGTAAGGTGTTTCCTAAACGAAAGCAGCGAGTACAGCAAAGCTTGGGCCTCGAGGACGTTAATATCCTGCAAATTGTCCAGCCAGTAATCCCTGGACTCCAAAGTGTGACCGCCCAAGCGCAAAGTTCCGCCCCAAGCTAACTTTGAAGCATCAGAATATGGCATAACGGACGCATGATGCTCAGTTCTCCATTGGAAGCAGTCCTTCCAGTCGTCAAGAAACCGCCAGTACTCGATCGCAGCTCGAAGGTTAGTGTCTAGCTTGACAGTCGGCCGAGAAGAACCCGAATGGCGGGAAATAGCCTTAAAAACCTCGCGTACATACAATCTGGAACCCAGAATAGCAAGACTAAAAGAGATCACTTTCCCCGAAAAACGCTTAAGTGTCTTCAGGCTAACGAAAGGGGACGAGAGAATATCTTCCCTTAATGTCGCAAACTTGTTTCTTTTTTCTTGGGGAATGACGAAAGCTTGACGCACCGAGTCACACACGAAACCGAGAAAACACACGCACTTTGAAGGGGTGGACTGCGACTTGTCAAGACCAATAAAATAACCCGCCTCAACGAGCAAGTAACACATGATGTAAGCTGCTGCCAGGGCTCGCTGGAAAGATGGACCCCGAGTCATCCGAAGGGGAGTGGTGAAAAGTTGACCCACGTGCTGGTCGTCAATGTATTGCGACACCGGAACCCCAATGGACCGAGCAGCGCCTGAAACCGCGAGACCGAGCTTGTGATAAATAAACGCACTGGCCTTCCAACCGAATGGAAGAGTATGGAAGACGAAATAAAAACCCTGCCACTGAAAGCCTGAGACAAGGAATGCAACAACACGTGCTGATAACCATTCTTGTCGTCGAAGGTCATCTGGAAATGGTGGGGAAGGACATACCTCGGAAGATCGCACAAATGATCGAGCTTAAAAGGAAGGTCGTGGATCCATAAATTCAAATATCTTTCATCGTGACATAATCGTGGCTTGGTTGGCTCGACAGTCAATGGCAAAACCAAGTATGGAAAGCTACTACATCAACTGGGCCCCAGACCACTATAACTCCGGCAGTCACCTATTGTATTATCCTGTCACTGATGAACTGGGAAAACCTGGCGCAAGTAGCAGAGTTGTTAATGACAACAGGTGGAGGGATGTCAGAATCGTAAGCTTTCCCTTTGAAATTTCCCCTGAAAGGCCTGAAGAAATGTTCGACGCAAACCCCTTCCCGTATAATTTCCAAAAGGTCCACTTCCCCACACGATGAGTTCGAGATGAGGTTCTGCCAAATGTAGGACTTGCCATGAATATTGCCAGCCCTGAAGTGGCTCGGGTCGTAAAAGCGCAAGAGGGCGAGGTCGGCTAAACCAGGTCGGGATGCCATTAGATCCAGAGGAGGCAAGGGGCCAACAAAGGGAGGGGCTCCCTGTGTAATAGAACGCAGAGAAATGTCCCCAGAAAAGATATTGCCCTGGGCAAGGCGTAGCCTTGAGGCGAATGAAGGGGAACAGGCCTAAAACACGACGAAAAAAGGAAAGGAAAATAAGATAGATTACTAGCATACCCCCAAAACAGGGAACCCAACCCTCTGTTGACCCCAGGCTCAGAACCAGGTCTGGAATTGAGACACTGAGGAGGTCCCGCCGAGGTCAACGGAGAGGGAGAAAATGACCCAACCCAAAGGAAGAAAGAAAAACAAAACAAAAACAAAGAAATGCGAATGATGCATACAAATTTATTAAAAAGGTCGTACAAAGGTTACACACAGATGCTCACTGGCGTCAGCGACCCCGGCCACCTGCGCGCCCAGTCTTACAATTACGCGCTATGTGGCCCCAACCATGACAGCTATAGCACTGGACCGGGTAAGGTAACAAACGACGGCGAGTGCGGTTATCGTGAAAGCCAGATGGTTGCGACCTGGAGACCCCCTTCAAAATGGAAGTTGCCTCTTTGGCCATTTTGGCCCTAAGGGGGTCGCCAACCAAACCGAGCATCAGGCGTTGCAAGTGACCAGACTCGAGGGAGGCTTGTCTTGCCTTGACTTCGTCTAGCGCTGCCGAATATGCTTCGGCCTTATCGTGGGCTTGCGTCCTCGCTAGGCGTACCAATGATTCCAGCAACTCTATTGCTTCATGACGATCAAAAAGGGACGGAGGCCTGTTTAAATGCCTTCTGAGGGCTGTTAGCATGTTAGCGCCACTTGCAACAGCCTTCTCCTGCTCGAAGAGCCTAACCTTTTCCTCCAGCTGTCAGAGTCGCTCATCCGGCTAGATAAAACGAGGGAAACAAAAAAAGGAGGGGCAATAAACATGAGAACCTCAACACAAAACGCATGTGCAAACCTATAACTCCCTGCCTGCTCTCCAGGCTACGCCAGTAGAAAGTTGAACTTAAACAGAACTATATTACGGCTCTCCAGGCCACTGGCTTTCCCATCGGCACCAGTATAAGTGGTACGGACTCATGATAAACGCATGTTAAACAGCTCCCCAGGCTGCTGGCTCTCCGGGCCACATTTGCATAAGCTCATATTTTAACAAAATCATGAAGTGGCTCCGCAGGCTGCTGGCTCTCCGGGCCACACTGGCATAAACTCATATTTTAACAAAATCATGAAGCGGCTCTCCAGGCTGGTGGCCCTCTAGGCCAAACTGGCATAAGCTCATAGTCCAAAGTCAGAGCTCTCCAGACCGCTGGCTCTTAAGGCCACGCTAGCATAGCTAATATTTTAACAAAATTATGTCACCGGTCTCCAGGCCGCAGGTAGCGCAGGCCACCGTACACTCATACTCTAATAGAACTATGATACAGCTGTACAGGCGGCGGGCTCTCCAGGCCACACTGGCATGAAACTCATACCGAGCAGAACTCTGCAACGGCTCCCCGGGCCACACTGGGATAAACAAATATTTTAATCACAGAACTAAGCCACGGCGCACCGGGCCGCAAGACATTTTGTATGCTTGCGGCAGTCGGTTTAAGTCCCCAAAGGGTACGTCAAATAGGCCGCCGCATAAATGAAACAACACAAATAAAAAACACCGAAAAACAAAAACACCTAACAGAAAAGGAGGCAATGAACTAAGCAAATGAGCGGCTATACAAAAAGGGAGCGAAAACAATGCGAAAAAGAAAGGAGGTGATAGCGGCCAACTCCCGTAGGTGCACAATTAGCAAGCTAATGAAACAAATAAACCGCAAACGAGCGATAAAGCCTTTGCCTAAGAAACTTTTCATGCATAACAACTAAATAAACAGCCCCAAATAAAAAAGGATATGGAAGCGGAAGACAAAAGCTAAGGAACATGATAATGAAGCAAGAGACAATGAGACGCAAACTAGCCAAAAAACAAAGTACATGCGGAAAACAGCTAAACAGTACGCAAGACGACAAAAACTAAAGGATGCAAAAGGGGTACGAAATAATAAAGAAACTGGGGAAGGAGAAAGACCCAAACACACGGGACTGAAACCTACAGAAGCGAAACCTACCCCACACAAAGTAAAATTGACAACGTGACTACGAAAATTACCTCAGGTTCAGCCGCATGAGCGGGAACGTCTAAAGGCTCCACAACTGGTGCAGGAGCTGCTGGATTCGGGGCTGCTGGCGCAGCAGCAGGCGGTGGAGGCAAAGCCGGTTCTTCGGCTTGGTCAGCCATAGCAAAACGAAGCTGGTAGCGGTTGTTCAGCTCGAAGAAACTTAAACGCCACTTTCACCGAACTCCGTAGAACTGGCCAGGAAGTGGCTAAAACCGAGCTATTTGAAGCGAGGGCTGCAAGGCATCATGCGCGGCAGCACGCAGGCCCGGCAGGACCGAATTTAACTGATTTAAATCTTCCTGTGGTACGGGCTAATTATGTATGCAGTGAGAATAGTAACATGGAACAGCCTGTCAGCTGAGGCTAAGCAGGCCACTATTTTAAATTGTTTTTATTCCGCTATTGTACATTAAGATTTTCTTAGTTGGCATTTATTATAGGATTTTTCAATAATGTTTGTCATTTTTAAGTCTTAGCTTAATGTGCACAGCTCTTAAGAAGACCACTTTTTAGTGATAAGGATTCCGTGGTTAAATAAAGTTATTACTTACTTACTTACTAAGTAAATTTCAACATAGTAGTACACTACTGTGCAATCACCGTAAACCAGATAGTGCGATCAATTAGCCTTTCTGTGAGGATTAGTTTATTGGTTATTCGGACTGATGTTTTATTGTACAAAGACGAAAATAGCTGAAAAGGGTCAAATCTTTTTTTTTGAGAGCCTAATGAAATGCCCGGCTTATCAAAGTCTCACCTTAAAAAGCTGCGTGTGTGACTAAAGTCAAATGTGCAAAGACGGTAAACAAGACTGATGTATAGTGAAATTAATTAGCCTTTCTATGAGGATTAGTTTATTGGTTATTCGAACTAATGGTTTAGGGTATTGAGATGATAGTAACTGAAAACTGGTTAATATTTATCTTTTAGACCCAAATGAATTATCCTGCTTAGTAAATATACAACTTTGCTTTTGACTTACTTGAAAAGTCTCGCCTCTCCTGTGTGACTGAAGTCTAAAGTACAATAAATTTCTTTAAGAACTCAGATAATTTGTTATTCAGGCTAATAGGGTTTTCCGATTTAGCGGAAGTTCTGCGGAAGTGAAACTAGCCAGTTTCTAATGAGTCGAATTTCTAGCCTTTCTATACGTGGAATTCGTTTGACCACTACTGGTACGTAAATTGCTGGTTGTTTATAACTAGGGTTTTTCCATTTAGCGGAAGTTCTTTAAAATTGCCTTTCTCTTTCTCTTGTAACTGACTGTTTAGTAAGAACGCTTATAAGGAATATGTTAACGAAAATGTTTCATACCACACGCTTTACACATTTTTGAACAAATATCCAGTCTTTGATTTTGAACTTTCTTTGCAAGACGTTACCTTTTTCATCAGTTGCTAAAAATTTTACCAACTAAAGAGCAACAAGTGAGAAATTAGAGAGGCTCTGCCTTGACCAAAGCAACAATCAGAAGGAAAAATCAGATAAACATGTCAAGTATGTTACGTGATTTATTAACATCTTGGGAAGTAATATATATTAACTCTGCACGAGATAAATATTTTTCTCGACGCTAAAGTTACTCAATATTAACTTTAATCTATATTTTCATTTCTGGTCCACAGTAATACTCTTGTCATCCAGGAAATATTCCTTCGTAATTTGTTCACGGTTGCCGTTTGGAAAGCCAGTATTCCCAGTATATAATATAGTGGGTCGTATTCTGTTAGATTTGAGGGAAACATCGTAAAGAAATTTTGCAACCAGAGTTGTTTGAAATCGTACATCAAAACTAATGCAAGGAAACTCTCGAGACTTACAATAACTTTATTGAAGCAAATCATAAACAATAGAACGTCCCAGGACGATTTTCCAGTTACTGTTAGCAATCTAGCTTGAAGCCTTACATGTGAAAACTGTAGAAACTTTTAACCACCGAGTAATTAAGACGAGAGAATCCGACTGATACAATTTCCCTCTTTTTACACCCGCCTGTACCCTCTGAATACGTTACTTGTACTATGCAACGAGAATGTGCTTTGCAAAGCTTTTCCCCAAATCAATTCAAATTAACCTTGTGGTAAGACGTCCAAACTGATGAACCAGTTTTGTCTAAAATTATCTCACAATAGCCTGTCGTTAAACCTAACTGACGTATAACTTTCTTTGCGCCATTTATATAATAATGAAACAATGTTTCAAGGGGCTCTGTCACGTGATTATAGGAAATTCCAGCATTGTCACAAAATATTGTTATAATGCCTTTTTAAAATATCAACGAACCCTCAAAACGTACAGAAGGCCAAAAAGTGGTATGCCTTGTACGAGAGGCAACCTTAGATAATTTTAAAATAGACTGAATTTTTTAAAAATGTATTGAGAACTTCCATCTTTAAAGATTTTCTTCAGTATTTTACTCATAAATACTAAGGTTTCTTTTAAGGCCGGGAGTTTCTCAGTAAAATAAATCGAAGAATTTACCTAAGATATGGTGACTTAGCCCCGAAGATAATGTGGTAAGATTTCCGTATAACCCCATACAGTCATTATGCATGCAGCAGTCTCATACTATTTCCCACAACAAGTTTATAAGAAAAGAGTCCTAACATACATGCATAACAAATGTATGGGGTTATGCGGAAATCTTACCAATAATGTCACTTAATCTGTGTCGGAGGAACTTAGAAGACCAATTTTTGTTTCCCACTTGCCAAGGGCGTTTACACGCGCTTCTGCCGCCTGGTTTTGCGGTGGAGGAAAATTGAGGTAGTTGGTCCAAGAGACGGTCTAGCTTATCGCCGATGGTGGATGTTGGTGACTGAACACACTTCCTCTTCGTCTTCTTCCTCTTCCTGTCCCCCTCGGCAACGGTTGAGGCATCTAAACCTCCCTCGGGCAATTCGGCTGCGTTCAGACGATGAAGCTCGTCTCGCCGTCGTATTTTTCCCAGGGTCTGCTCGATTTCATCGCTAGTTCCAGAAGACTCATCTGACTCTGGCTGACTTTCTGCTCTTTTCAAAAGGTCGTCAACCCTGTGGTACTCATCATCGATGTGAGTTACTTCATCTGAAGGTCTAAACGTATGACAGAAATGAATAAGTGTATCTTAAGAGTGCAAGGAATTAGTTAATATGATCGCCCCAACGCGGAAAAAGTTCTCGGCTTCAAGAATAACCACTTTTTTTAAGAATATGTACGGGGAAAGGTTTCAGCCCTCTATTTAACAACATTAAGAATGTCAGTCTATATCGGATACTTATTTGTCCTTAACTTTGTTTAATAAAGCCGACGCTTGCTTCCTTAGGCGCTCTTGCAAGCTCTTTTCGCCGATGTCGCGGTCTCTCTAAGTCTTTCCTTCCTCTCCAAGGACCTCCCAGTTGCTTTTCAAGAAAGCCAAAACTGTTCGCCAATCTCTTCCTTTAAGTTCAACGGCTTTTAATTTCAAGTGGTCCTCCAATTTTGAATACTTGTGGTGTGTTGCATTGCGTCTTCTTGGCTGGAGCTTCACTCGAGCTTTGCCCTAGCGTGTATAACTTTGTGGTGCATCTGAGAATGTCACAGCTCCAGAGGCACTCATTCAGGTACTCGTACTAGGGCTGGAGGTGCTAGTAGTCACTGGTGTTTCAATAGCTACTCCAAATGCTGCTCTTAGGAAACTATTGTCCGAGAAGTCGCCCATCGTTGCGAGTATGACTGAGAAACCACAAATTTTAGGCTTATATATATGTCTTAAAAACAACATTCCCATTTGCTTTTGACATTGTTTTTTGTTTTGCTTATGATTTTTTGCTTGTTTTGTTTTCCTTTTTTTTTTGCACATAGGTGTCAATCTTCCTGATTCAGTGAAAAAGATTCTTTGGTTTGGTATTCGCCCTCTTACGAAGAGTGCAACATGTGTCCATTGTTTAACCCCGCACAGAAAAACATAACAACACCGTAAACTGCATTGAAATTACTCGAAAATTTCTAAATACCCCAAACCGCTTGGTTTTTTAAAACTGGAATACCGCAACTTAAAATGAAAATATCTGCAAAACTGCATCACCGTAAACCCTTTTGCCTCCTCTTTTAAGAGGCAGTCAGTAAAAACCGCCCACTCAATTTCGCGTGAAAAATAATTTTGCCTGAAACTCTGGTGGATGAAAGCCTTTATTGGGACTATAACTAAAATAGGTTTGCTTTGATTCAAAGTTATTTTCTGGCCGCGCTAAGAAGCACGAATTTTTTTGGCCCGCCATGGCCATATTGCGGGGCCCAAAAGTTGAAAATTTGGCATTTTTTGGAGCGCTGTAAAATTTTTTATTCACAACATCTCGAAATAAATTTAACACATATTTACTGATAAATGTCTTCAGTTTTTCTAGATATTAAGTATTTCTCCGTAAACGTACCCAGAAAGATGAGATCAACCAAAATAAGACCCCTATAAAATGCCATCGAACAGACAGCCAAAAATGGCCTTAGTTTAGAAGCATATCTCTACTTTTTGGGACAGAGTTGATTATTCTAGACTATAGAGCCGAAAAGATTGTTCCTTAATTGACAAGAACTTACAAGAACCCGTGTACAATTTCAGTATTTCAAAAGTTATGACCGTTTGAATTAACGAACATGTCAACTTTGAGCGATTTGTCGTCCATTAATACTGTGTGAAATAATGAATCCATCTCAAGAAAATTTTGCGGTCAGCCTAAAACGCGGACTGCAGACTGCAGACTGCGGACCAGGGGTAAAATGCAGACTGAGTGTAAAATGCAGATTGCAGACTCAGAGTAAAATGCAGGCTGCGGTAAAATGCAGACCGAGCATAAACTGTAGTCGCAGAAGGGTTTAAGGGCAAAACAATCCCGCAAATACATGTAAATGAACACTTACTTGACATGTGCTTTCACAAATCCATTCCTTTCTTCTGAGGAACGTCTTCACGACCCGAAAACATACTAGTAATCGCAATCTTGAACCTTTTTCCGTCCGAGAGACCTCACGCTTCAACTTTTTTGATACGCATGACCATAAATTGGTACAACACCACGATGTTTATGCTTAAATAAAAGCTGCTGACCCAAAATGCTGTACAGAAAGAATTCAAAACAATTATGGCGACAAAAAAGAGAGTAAATCATTCCAACAACAAAAGAAGATGTTCTGCGGGAAATTTGGATGACCTTCTATGAAAGGATTGAAAATCAAGGTACGCAGACTTTAGCTGTTTGGATGTTCATTGAACTTTTGGCGAATATGCAATGTACTAACTTCGACTAGGAAGCGAGGTGTGTAACTGATACCAGCTAGCTATTTGGAGAAGACGGAGCACAATTGTTTGTGAAGTCTACAATCTTCATTCTGCATTTTGCACCCAGCCTGCGTTTTACTCTCAGTCTCCAGTCTCCAGTCTGCATTTTACACTGACCGAAAATTTTGTGAAAAGGACAGCTTACCTACAAACTGAGCCATATTCTCATCCCAAGGAATCTTGATTTCATCAGAATCCAGCTAACACTGCCTTGAAAATAACTGTCGTTCGCCTAAAGTAGAATTCCTTGCAGATTCCAAAACGGCTCGAATACTGCAACAGGCGCAAATCCGTGGTCACATCCGTAACGTTTCTCGGTAATTAGCCGGTAAAACATCGGTTGATAGCTAGTTTGCTTGAGGATCAGAGAACAAACAAATCAACGTTCGTTTTTGGAAACGTAAATAAGGATTCGATTGCTTCAAATTCAGGTAACAGTTCCTTGGAACTCTCTCTATAATAAAAAGGTCACGTAGTGTTTTGACCGAAATAGGATTCCTAGCGGAAATATGGAATCCTGGAACTAGGAAAACAAGGCATGGAATTCACCACCCAGAATAGTGCATTTATCAACGGAATTTAATTATGGGAAAGGCGTGCTTACAAAAATATTGTTTTAACAACTGATACTGTAAATAAACCCATAACGTACAAAAGAACGGCGTTTTTAAGAGTTACAAGAAATGACAAGTTAAAGAAGTTGGTTGTTAGGAGTTATTCAAAATACAGTAAATCACGTGTTCACTTGGGTGCTGTTTTTCACTAATTTGTAACGACTATCGCCTGCCAAGCTTCCTCAACTCACAAAACATTATACTTTATAATTTTGCTGTTGACTATTGCACAATACCTTGAAAATGGCTAGCGTGAGAAAACAGCCGACATTTTGCGGCGCCACCACTGGTTTCACATTTCACACGGTAACCAGTGGCGGCGTCGCGATATGTAAATCGTGTGGTTTTATGCTAACAAGTGTTTTTAAGCAAAATTTACATTAGAAAAGACAGGATGTTTCTATCAAGACAATGTCAACCTCAGCCTCACGTTCACTCAAAGGCTTGGACACAAAGCCCTCAACTGTGAATGGCCTATTGTAACTACTTCTACAACTGAAGATATTTAAATTGTTACGAACTTCTACAACTGAAGATAGAATAAGTTTCCAAAACATGTCTTGTAAATTGAAAATTGTTGAGTCATTTCTTCAGATAATAATTTATATAATTTTTCATATAACATTAATGTTTATTATTTCACTTTTTTCCCATTTCAAAAAAGTAAAGAGCAGGGAAATAGGATATGACAGCTTGCCGTATGAACTTGTTTGAACGGACGGGCAGGGTTGAATGGCGGCCGGAAATAACGTCACCATGTGTAAAAATACTGCTTTTGCTAAGTTCCCTGTAATTTGATTTACGTAACCCTGCTTACGACAGCACAACACAACAGGTAGGAATTTAAGGAAACGCTTTACATTGCTTTAGTGAGACACACACTCACATTCACTTATCATGACTGTCAGTTTGTCTAAGAGGAATTTCTTTTTCTCCCTCGATTTCACAGGAATCTCAAAATGGTTGCAGATACTCCTAAGCATGGCTACATTGAATTCTTGGAGCGTGTTGCTATGATAATGCTCACACAGGTCATACTGTCAAAACAGATAGGATGTGCGACGTTAATTTCTTCATTTACTGTGTTAATCAGATCCTCTCTTTCTGAATATTCCTTCAAGCACTGTATGTCTTCCTCCTTTTCCGTTGACAAGCCGACAACACCCTGCTCTTTACGACGTGCTGCTGCCATCCGCGAAAAAAAGCTCTGAACTTGGTTCTTTGAAAGCCACTCAGATATAGTAAACAGGCGTTCATTAGACTCATTTTTTGCATTTCGCATGTCTGCTGCAAACTGGCCAGGGTCAGCCTTACGCCCTGTTCTTTCTCCTATTGTAAAACGTGCTGTTAGGTATTCTTTGACCTTTGGCGAAAATCTAACGCTACTTCTCGGTTTGCTTAAGGCCCAACCTGTTTGCAGAGATGATTTGCTTGAAGTGACTTCTGAAAACGTTGGCGGTCCCCCGGAAGGCACTGAATACATTTCAATGTCAGCAGGGTTATATCTACACATGAGAATTTCAGTGCCCAGTCCCTTCTGATGACATCATACTGGTTTAACCTGCTGGCAGTATGTTTACCGACATCAAGATGCAGCTCTAACTGTGCAACGGATTCAAAGGCCTCATTGCAAACCGAGCTTTGAACATTCAAACGGTGGTGTACTACTCTAAGTACTCTTGCTAGCTTCTGAACTGGGTTTTACCTCTCGTTTTCCAAGTGGTACATAGAATTCTTGGGATTCCACTGTTTGGAGAGCAGTTGGAACCTGATTGGTGACGTAAAGCATTTCATATGGAATGTACTTTCCAACGCCTATACCATAGACCATCAGCTTCATATTCAAAGTTATGAAAGCTGCTGAACTGCTCCATCTTCTTTACCGAAAGAGTCTTTCTCGACTCGTTGACTACACAAACCGCAGCAGATGGTCCTTTTACTGGGTGTTGTATTAAGGCATCTCTCATGTCTGCAGCAGTTAAAACATCATGACCTTCGTTGCAGTACATACGGATGGAGGACTTCAGTGGACACAGGATACGATCACAAATATCCTTTCCAGACTGTGGCTCTGAGTAATGAGAACTATGTACTGTAACACCAACTCTCTTTGCGATATCTCTTACAGCAGCAATCAAGGAGCTGTTAAGATGACAACCAGCCTCATCTGACTTTAAATATGCTCTTTGGATGAGAGGATTCCTGGCTTTTAGTTTTGTCAGAAGGTCTTCTAGAATTGAAGCTACTGAGAACCAATCCTGCGTACACTCATTACAACTTCACGCCGATTTAAGTGTGTACCCCAAATTTTGGGGTTATCAAGTATTCATATATTCAGGCTATTGTTCTTGCCATTGTCGATTACCTTCCGAAGAATCCACGAGCGGAATTCCTTTGATTTAGGTGCGATATGTCTCTTTTGTTTCGAATTTTGTTGCTTGATTGACTTTTTAATCCCCATTGTTACCTGATGAGTATTAAATCTATCCATTAAAATACTCGGACTTGCCTGTTAAATTTGCTGCGGTCTGTGGGAACGCTTACAAGTTCTGGTTGCATAACATATTTTCGGTCACGCATCGTATTACAAACGAAACAAGCCTGATAAATTTGAAGTTGATTAAAGCTTATAAATACCTACTCTCCTATGGTATTTTTTTTATTAAATACTCCCTTGCCTTGAAAATAATTTGGCGTTTAAAGAATTGCTGCGGAAGGTATTTATTAGAACGTTTTATTCATTCAGTATTATCAAAACCTGCGCTCTGCAATCAAGAGCGAACAACTCTCTTCAAAATGTAAACAACGCAAGCGGTGAATGCATTTAACGGGATGACACAGATTTATCAGCGTGTAATTTCACTTTTTTGGACGTTTTCGCTTGCCTTTCAGTTTTTTTGTTTAAAAAAACCTTGCGTTTCAGTTACGTGACTGCAGGGCCCGAAATAACCGCGTATTGTCAGTTCACCGATTTGCATGACAACTTGATTCGCGGAGCTAATCGAGTGAGACAGGAAATATCTAAAACTGTAATCGACAGATCAGAACTTGCGGAATTCATAATTCCTCGAAATATCTTCGTAGAAACGCTTGTATAGTTTGATTGCTCTGGAGAAATGAATAACTGTTATGATTAAATGAATGGACAACTCTCGGCCGGCCGGATTTTTTTAAGCGATAGGCGAGAAAAAATGCTTCAGCGGCTTGCTTTGTACTTCGAAACCTCGGCAAGAAAAAAATCCAATCTCGGTCCACAGTGGTCGAAATTTCTCGTTCAAGATCTCTTTTTAAAGCTCTCAAAACTCTCCTTTTTGAAAAATACGTACCCAAGTCGAAGAAGTTTTGCGAAAGACTTAAATCCATAAACTTCTACCGCGATATGTGCGATATTTCTCTGCAGTTTTATTGACACATTTAGAACAAAAGGATACCTTTAAAACTTCGTGGCCCTGGGCAGCTTAATTAAGCCATTGTTCAATTCCTTTGAATTCGCTTCTGAGTCTTCCGCCATAAAATCTCACCTTCTTTGAACCGAGTCAAAACGAGCACTCCCGAAGGGAAAGTCCGCAGGAATAAACTGAGCCTTCAGGGTACAAAATCCAGCGGTTATGCCCATTTCTGAAATACACACTTAAATCGGCGTGAAGTTGTAATGCTGATCAAAAAGGTGCGCGTAAGAGAGAACCTCAGTTGCACTGGACATGTCTTTGGTCACGACACTAGTGATGTGCCAGCTGAGCCCTCTCTTGCCATACCAATCAGTTTTTTTTCTCTGTAACGAAGCTGCAAGAACTTCATAGCCCAATCCATTACTAGAAGGCACGAATTCTGATCAAGCTCTGCCAGTATATCTTGTTTCGCCCATTCCTGGATTACAGCTCTCATAATGTGGGCTTTCCACTGTACAATAGCATCCGAAGCTTTCTCCATGTCGTACAGGAAGTCTTCTTTCTGTTCTTTGCTGTAAAAGCGTAAGCTTTCACTGTCATTGACGGTTTGTTGCAATTTATGCAAACAGGAAGTGATGTCATCACATTGAGGGCAGCTAAGAGTATGTTCATGTATACATTTCTCTTGAAAATTTGGATCATTCGGGTCACTTAGACCCAACTTACGGCAATGATCTGGACATGAGCTCTCATTATCTTTGCAATTCTTCTGATATTCTGTTTTCAAATACTTCTTACCGTCCCGAAAAGATCTACTTATATCATCTGCCAAGCTCTTCTCTAGGCCAATATGACCAAGCTCCTCTACTATTCTTTGTAGGCGCTCGAATGCCGCTGACCCATCAGCAGCTGTGTTGTCTAAACCACTCAAGAATTTCTGTTGTGAGGCCTCCCGTACTTCGAGAACACGAAATAGACTTGCGCGACTTAGGGGTTTGTATTGTTCTTCTTCACAGAACTTTAGATATTGCCTGATCATTGTTGCTCTTGTTACTTTACGTATGATGTTTGGCATTGTGAGTTTCTCGCCGTTTCAGTTTCCTTGTACCAAATGCAACATCTTGATAAAAGTATGGTGGTTAACAAAGTCTAAGAAATGGTCAAGTTTCGCTGGGAGAAGTCGAACCCTATGAGAAGGCGGCTTTTCTACTAAGGAGCCTGGACTGCATTCCCTTGCGTGAGCTCTAGCGCGTTTGATTTGCCAAGATGTTAGCTTCGCAAATGGTTCGTGGATCCTCTGAAGTGTCCTCGCTGGATATCTATAAGCATAAAGGCTCAGAATTTGAGTCTTCACGTTTCTTGTCTTAGCAGCATTGTAGGCTTGCATCAGTGGTACAAGATCCTCATAGTCTGCCTTTGTATCAGGAATACAACAGGACTGAGGTAGCTCCTGTGCAGCCTTTGGCGCTATAATCTCACACACAAGGCTACAGGCTTCAGTAGCCTTATCGATGCACACTTCTTTCTCGTGCTCTTTTGCCTCATCCCACGTCGTTTTTAACTGAAACGTTAAGGGACTGACCTGTCTAGTAGTAGAAACCTCATTAAGCTTCCCCATGGCGGCATTGAATTTTGATATGGCGGACTCTGCCACGCTTTCAGCAACATCCTCCTCCCCAGAGCTACAGTCCGAAGGCCTCCACCCCGCGTCCACTCGGCTGCTTTTGCTGCCGGTGTCACGGAAGGCGTAGAAGATACTGCAGCTGAGATCTTCATAGATGCAATACATTTTACAAGTCTGTACAATTAAGGAAATAAAAATTAACACATACCGGATTCAAGTTTTCTTTTTACTTGATTATTATCCTCATTGTCGTTGAGGCGTTAAATAAAAAAGTTCATAGAATAAAACAAAGAGGACTCGTAATAAGCTGCTTACATAAAACCTGTCCCTATTAAATAAAAATGAAGTGATACGAAACCTTTTCAATACAACACACTAAACAATTTTTTGGTATCTAGAATGAAATGTGTTTAATTTGGAGTCATTTACATTGAAATTCATCAATAGTTACATAGTTTATAGCAACGTACTGATACTGATATTTTGCGACGGAAATTATGCACCTTGAAGGGTTATCATCCTGTTCGTTGTTGTCTTCGCCTCCTTTCTGGTTCAATAGAGCATTTTTTTTCTTCAAGCTTGACTTTGTGTAAGTTAGAGCAAGATACACAGATCACTGAAAATAAAAGTAGCGAAATAATGACATAAATCGCGAGAAAGGAATGACTGAATGTAAAAAAAAACAAACAACCAAACAAACAGTCATGGCGCGCTCTTTTCACACTGCACCTCGAAATCGGAGAGCTCTTTAAAACAAGTGTAGAAGACACAGAACGGCTCAAACGAGCAAAATTCACAGCACTAGAAATTTCTGGTGTTATCAACATGCGTCTATTGCAACCTTTCTAGCAGCCTTAACTGCTGACAAACTACCTTATTTTCCTATTACATTATTTAGTCAAATAATGATCATTATTTCATCTTTATCTTTCCCGGGGTATATTACATGAAGCCAGTTTAACTCCTTCCAGTTGACTTGCAAGCTCACTTAGAATGCTTCTCCAGTATCGCAAAGGTCAGGGTTTGAATCCCCTGCAAGCCTGAATTTTTTCAGGCCTTTTTTTCACAACTGTACTTAAAAAGGAAAGTTAAAAAACAAGACAACCGATGCTACTACAGTTTATAATTTCGACGGGAAGATCAAGGAAACTTACTGAAAAATATATTGGACAAATTGAATTTGAGTGAATTTCGTAGAGACAGAAAGCATACTTAATTTAATTTGCTTTCAGGAGATAAGCTTTTACTTGAGGACGAACTGCAATTGTTCTAGAAAACCTCGAATGCCCAACAAATTAATATCACAAACCGGCTAGGTAAACAGAGACATAATTAGATTATGCATTTGCACGCAACTTTTCTGGCGCCTTCCCTTAGACATGTTTCTGCGAAAATGCACAAGAGCTTTAAACAAAAGGTAACCTGGGCAAAATATAGATTATACTCACGGGATCCTATTGGAACGTTCTTTCCAAAGATAAGATTAATTTCCCTTGACATACTTGCGTGTACAGCATTTCTCGTTCTAAGCTTTTTCTTTGGGCCTGGACGATGCAGTGGATACTGGCAGGTTTGACGAGGTCGCCAGTATTTCCCCATGTCGTTTCTGTGTTTTTCACATATCCAGGGCCGCTCAAGTTGATCGAACGAAAGGTCGTGTGCTAGACCTGATCTGTTGAGGAGGTCATATTCGAGGAGTTGGCTAGCGGTATTATGCATGAAATGGAAGATCTGATTAGCAGCGAATTTTAGAGGCCATCAATTTTCGATTCTTTTGTCCGTCTATCCTGTTTACTATTTTCACCATTTTATCTGGTCATGAATTTATTCAATTAATTTTCTTTTGCTCGGTATCTTTGATGAAGAAGACCCAAGGAAACATAGTTGGTTTCTTATTCCAGGTTTCTTAATTTCTCCGTTTCCGGTCTCTAGCTAAAGTAGCGTGACTAGGCGTGACATCCAAAGGTTTTAACGCGCTTTGAAGGGAACAAATTTTTATTTTCTCTCCGAAAACGTGGCTGAAAAGTCGATATATTCTGATTCTCGAGCAAATTGCTCTGAATGGTTGTCTCATCAAGGTATTTTAATACAATACACGCGAAACATGAGCCGTATGATCGTTACATTTCGATCGGAGACATTTTGGATTCAACTTCGCCAGCAATTTTCAAGGCTAAAGTATACTTGATTTTTATGGAATCATGCTTCTCGGAAGTCAGGATTTTATTTCATTTGGTCAAACGTTCCTGCCTCGCATAAGGTAAGCCGTAATTTAGACAAAATCTAGTCGAGATAAGTAGTGATGATTTATTACGCGTTAAAGAAAAAAAATGGCTAAACCTCGAATGTGCGCATATAAAAACGACCATAACTTTTGAAATACTAAAATCGTACGCAGGTTCTTGTGAATTCTTGTGAATTAAGGATCAATCTTTTCGGCTCTATACTCTAGAATAACCAGCTCTGTCCCAAAAAGTAGAAATATGCTTCTAAACTAAGGCCATTTTTGGCCGTCTGTTCGATGGTATTTTATAGGGGTCATATTTTGGTTGATTTCATCTTTCTGGGTACGTTTACGGAGAAATACTTAGTATCTTGAAAAACTGAAAACATTTATCAGTAAATAGGTGTCAAATTCATTTCGAGATGTTGCGCTTCAAAAAATGACAAATTTTCAATTTTTGGGCCCCGCCATATGGCCAGGGCACGCAAAAAAAATTCGTGCTTCTTAGCGCGGCCAGAAATTAACTTTGAAACAAAGCAAACCTATTTTAATTATAGTCCCAATAAAGGCTTTCATCCACCAGAGTTTCAGGCGAAATTATTTTTCACGCAAAATTGAGTGGGCGGTTTTTACTGAGACTGCCTCTTAAAGCCCATTTACATATGTAACAATCTCACTTTGAGGCAAATTGTGTTAAATGGTCTCATTCTTTTACAGTGTGTTATGTGTCAGCATAAAATTATTTTGAATATGCAATTTTCAGAGACCGGCGGAGACGAAGGCATGTTTTGCTGACTGATGGAAAAAAAGACAGACCTTTCTTGCAAGTTGTTGGATGGGTAATTGGCCAAAGAAATAAGAATACCTAAAGAAAACTTCCCGCCTCCTCCCCCAGCATTTCTTTTAGTTACCTACCCCGCAATTGTTTCATCAATTTATGTGGCTTCTTGTTTTTTAAATTTTACTCAACACTTCTTGTGTTCTCCACCCGCCAACGCTTTTGGTCTTCAGCCTCAACGCTTTGGTTCTTCTTTCCGCTCTGTCCTTTCCTGTAGTACGCAACCGAAACACTCCCCTGATTAGGACCTTGTTTCCCAACTTTCATGGAAGAAGAGCGAGAGGAAGAGACGTGTGGCAAGTTTTACAACTCAACCCTGTAATATTTTGTCACATGACGGGCGAGACACCAGAAACTTTGGAAGTTGTTGTTGTTGCAAAAATATACGGACAGGTAACTTTACCAAGACACTTGCCTCGAACACCACAAACGGACAAGAGACGTTGCTGTATTCTTGATGTGCGCAACAGAGTATTACTCGTTTTTATTTGGCTTCGCCAATACTTAAAGCTTCATGTTCTTGCATGCATATTCTGCATTTCTAAAAGCACTGTAGCCGAGGAGATCTTCCATGTTATCCCGACAGGGCTGAATAACGTACTGCACATCTCCGTGACATCACTTGTTTACTAAGTGTTGCTGCACGGGGGATGCAGCTTTGCGACGTGAAAATCATCTGATAAACTCACGAAGGAGGAATTCTGCGAATACGTTAGAAGTGCAAGTCGTTTTAAGAAATTTTAAGTAAACCAGGGATCAAGGAAAACGCTTTTGATCCTCTCGGCGAGGTTTTTCATTGTTTTGATCGTAAGTTTTATCAGAAAGATGACTGACAGAAAAAGAGCATTGCTGGAGTTTTGGCCACTTTTCTTCAATGACTTCAATGGTACGTATTAAAACGATTTACTTGTATATACCTGATTGAAAAAACGTTGTCGCTTGAAAGGACAAACCATAAACTATGAGACCCAAGGGCTTTATGGGTTTAAGTATATAATGAATAGACCAATTCCGATATATTAAAATTCATACTTAGCTGCGAGGTCTAGGGACTAAAACAAAAGAAGTCACCTCGAGGCTCAATAATGAATAATACATTTCTTTTCTTTTCTTACCTCAAGCCCTTGGAGCCAAGTAAGAAGTGTAATGTGTTGAAAATAGTCTTTTACATTTGCATGATATTTTGTTCTCTTGTGCTTGTTAAAGTCATATCAGTCAATGAATTCAAGAAATATTTGCTTGCAAATTATTCCGAAGAGTTAAGTCCCTCTTCTAATTGGTCTTCTTTAACTATCGGCTACATGAGTGAAATGAGTGAAGGACGCCGAAAATGCAACATAAAAACAGGCAAACAACTACTAGAAGACGCCTACAAAAGTATTAAAAATGGGTGGATCACCCTATGGGTGGATCCACACAGTGCTGTGAAACGCAAACAGGATGAGAAAGAAAGAAGGGAAGGACAAGCAAAGAGGAAAACCTCAGGTATGATTCATAACTAACTTGCTCGCTTGGAGTTTGACATCTCAAAAATGCACTAGTAACAAAATTGCTAACCTTGTGTTTGTCGTAAACAATTTTTTTTCCAAAGTCTATAATGCAGGCCACCCTATCGACGGCGGAGTATGGAGGAGGATGATCAAGACTCCTACGAAAAAAGACTAGCATGTCTGCGAGAAAAGCATAGAGGAGGCATAGCAGACTTTAAACTAAAATGCTGGGCAAGAATGTTGGTAAGTTCAGAAAATATAATAACATCAACGCTAAAATTTCATGACATTCAATTGCAGATGAAGAAAGAGGAATTGTGATAATAAAGAAAAATGATTGCTCTCTAATATTTGATTCCGCGCTTGTAAACTTGCCAATTTTAAATGCACATGCATGCGTTTGCTTTTCCGTTAAATTGACACTTTTGTTCGGCATTGTACTGGGACGGAAAATAATATTTTAGGACTTGATTGTTTCTTTATTAATACAGGTGAATAAAATTCACCATAGCGAGGACGAGATGCCACAAGTTTCTTTTTTCACGGGGAGGAGTAAAGCGAGCTGCTCCGCAACTTCAACGGCAACATCGACGTCGACAGTTTCAGGTGCGGAGGAAAAGGTATAATTCTCTAACGTGTTACTCCGTTATTCGAGAAAAGAGCGCATCTAATTAAAATTAAGGAAAACGATTTTCGTTGTCACTGTGATTGCTGCGATTAATTGCCTTTTAAAATCGTACATTGTGAGATCCATGAATTTGAAAGGCCACACGTCAAGTTTTCTGAGCAAGACAGAACTGCAAGCATTACTAACGATTCGTGAGCTTAGCAGTCTTGCCCGACCGTAATTTCTTACCTCGAGCTTTCTTCTTGATGGAGGCGTCGCCCTTGTCTTCAGAGTCACTCAAGGAAAACCCGAGATGCTTGATTTCTGAAGAAACCTTCACGGTCAAAGCAGGATCAGCCCGGAGCTCTTTTATCGAGACGGAAGACTCTAGAGGTTTGCCATGTTCACCAGGAGCCAAATCAGGACGGGCAGCCGCTTGAATTTGTAAATGGGCGTTTCGCTGATGCAGGGCGTGAAGTTCGGCTTTCAGTTTGACTGTTTTTGCTCGACGTTCTAGCTCTGCATTGTCTGCCTTGGCTTGAGCAATGGCGGCATTTAACGCAGCGATGTCATCTGCATCGCCATTGACGTCGCTGGTTGTAGCGCGAGGAGTGGATGACTGGCCATTGCGATCACCAGGCGAAGACGTTCCTTGATCCTTAGCGAGGTTGACGGGCAGATACTCGAAGCTGTCATGAAATTCTTTGTCTTCCCCTGCATGCAAGGCTGCATAATCCCGTGACGGAAACGTACGTAAATTGTACTGAGACATTTTTTTTTATATATATATATATAATTCTTTATTGAAACAAATTGATGTTAATACAGCAAATTAGTTACTTACCTACATAATTATAATGTTACAACTAATATTACTAATACTAATAATATAATATAAAAAAAACCAATATCAGTAACAATAGACGGTAACCAAAAAAAAGAAAAAAAAGAAAATTCAAACAAACTAGAAATGTGTATGCATATTAAAACTTTAAATAGTTAAGCATTTACAAGAGGCGACACTATCCATTTAGCTTCAAAGAAATCCTTTGTTTTTTTACTATGCAGACATATATTTTTCCGTTTCATATTTTACAGCAGTTTTCTGTTTAAATCCATATATATTCGGAAGAATTTGACTTCTTCTACAATCCCACAAGTACAATTTCCCAATCATAATTAGATAGTTTAGAAGCTTAGCAGAAGGGGAGTTTTGTCGTATCATTCCAACTAAAACATCTTGCAACGAAAGTCGAATGTTTTCCTTTAAAATTTGGTGCCTGGATACTTCGAAGTCACGCCAGAAATCTACCGAGAAAGGACAGAGATATAGGAAGTGATCTAGCGTTTCTGGTTCAGATGAACAAAATGAACACGAGTCATTCAATTTAAAGCCAATTTTGTAAAGTTTAGCATTAGTATAGAGAATGGAGTTAAGAATTTTGTATTGAAATGCCTTAACATATGCTTCAAGAGTAACACTATGCGGGATCATAAAAATTTGTTTAACTTCCTCGAGTGTGGAATGAAATTCATTTTGCAGCTTGTTTACATTAGTTGCAAAAAGAGCCTTTGTGCTTACGAGTAAAGTATAATAAGTCTTTAGATTTCTTCTTTGTGACATCAAATATATTGTCGTCAATTTTTAGAGAAAGTTCACCTGTTGTTGATTTATGAGTACAATTTTTTAAAATGGAAGGAATGGAGTGTCGAAGACCTGCCCAAACTAAACAATTAGTTTTAGAAATCCTGTTAGAAACTAAGGAAAAGGAATCTTTGTCATTTAAGTCAAAGGATAGATCGCTGATGTGAACCACATCAGCTCATCAGCTTCGAAATAGCTTTTATAATAAACTGTTTTATTATTAATGAGTATTTGTTTGTTATTCCAAAGAATATAATGCCAGTCTTTTTCTGAAGAGAACGTATCTCTAAATTCTGACCACCACTGCAGTAATTCTAGATAGAAAAGAGAAATATTCAGTGGAAGGATAATAACATCATAATTGTAATGAAACAAGAAAAGGCTGCCAAAGCGTTCTAGATGATGTGTCAGATACCTTTTCCAGGTGCCATCATTTGAGCTAGCTATTCTTTTTAGCCATGCCAATCGAAGTGATATTATCATGCTATCAAAATCAATCATCTTTAATCCTCCGTTGGAGTATTCATTTATCGCCGATCTGGGTGTGACTTTATCACGACCATTCCATAAGAATTGAAATAATAACTGGTTTAACTGACTTACAAATTCTTTTGGGGTAGGTATTAAAGATGACACATAAACAAATTTCGGGATTAATAGAGATTTGATAAGTATAATTTTACCATAAATAGGAAGTCCTCTAGAGGACCAAATTCTAGTCAGGTTTTTAATACTGTCTAATCTTTCTATGAAATTCTTTTCAAGAAGCAGTTTTTGATCATACGTGTAATAAATTCCTAAAGCCTTTATCGGTTCGTTAGGCCATTTAATTCCAAAAGGCTGTGCTTTGCAGTTCCTTGAAGAACCTATCCACATAGCTTCCGTTTTGGAACAATTAATCTTTAAGCCAGAGACAATCTTGAAGTCATCTAACAGCCTAAAATGAGATACCTTTGATATCTTTATTTTGTCGAATCGCAATTGCTAATGTTTCTATAGTAACTACAAAGAGGTAAGGAGAGAGCGGGTCCCCCAGCCGTACCCCACGTTCAAGATTAAAGTATTCAGATGAAAGTCCGTTGTTTATCACACAGCTTTGTATGTTTCTGTAGAACGTTTGAACCCAGTGGATGAAATCAGGGCCAAAATTGAAGGATTTCAAACAATAGAGAAGAAATTCCCATTCTACGCCATCAAATGCCTTTTCAAAATCAACAAATATCATTAGTCCCGGAATACTTTCTTTTGCAGTGAAATCCATAATATCGAAAACTGATCTAATTGTTTCGCCGATATATTGATCTTTCACGTATCCAGTTTGGTTGTGGTGTATAATATTTGAAAGAACATTTTTAATTCTAGAGGCGATCACTTTAGACATAATTTTTGTGTCAACGTTTACAAGAGAGATTGGACGCCAGTTCTCAATATATGAACGATCTTTTCCTTTTTTTTCTATTAAAGTAATTACTGCTTGTTTTTGAGAACAAGATATTTCACCTTTTTCAAAGCTTTCGTTCACGCATTTAAGAAAAGGATCGCTTATTAAAGGCCTGAACACTTTGTACAATTCTATAGGAATTCCGTCATTTCCGGGAGTTTTGTTGGTTTGAAAGCTCTCGAGGGTGAAATTTTGCCTTCGCAGGTCAACTTTAGTTCTTCGGTTAATTGAGGTATATTCAAATTCTCTAGAACCTTTACAATGTTCTGACGGTTTTCCGCATCACTATTTGAACTTTTGTATAACTCGATAAAAACGTTTTTGTTCTTGAAGAATGTCATAGGGATCTGTCTTTACGACGCCGCTGACTACTAGTTTCCTTATATGCTTTTTTACATGATTTCTTTTTTCTAAGTTTAGGAAATATTTGGTACTTTTCTCTCCGTGTTCATGCCAACGTGCTCGAGCACGAATTATTATTCCGTTGACTTTTTCATCATAAAATGATTCGAGCTTATCCTTAGCCGCATTTAAATTGTTGCCATTCAAATCATTGGGGTTCGTTTCGAAAAACTGTTTCGCTTCAGTATATTCTTTTTCAAGTTTTGATCCTCTTTCGTTTCTCTCCTTTGCTTTCTTTTTGGAATATTTTATAGCATGAGCTCTTATGTTATATTTTATCCAGTCCCAAATGTTACGGTGGTCGGAAAGTTCTTTTCGGCCTTCCTTGATCCAAATTGGTACCATTTTTGTAAGGTCATCAATGTACTCATCATCCTCCAATATGGAGGTGTTCATCTTCCAGAACCTAGAACCCAGGACCCTTAGCCTCTTTGTCCACGTTCCCAAATTCTAAATAGATCGCAGAATGGTCAGTTCTGATGGCGGGGATTATATTTGTGGCTTTGACCCAGTCATGTAAATTGTTAGAAATCAGCCAATAATCAAGGCGACAAAATATTGGCGGAGATTGTTGACTCCAGGTAAAACTTTTAGTTTGCGGGTTTTTAACTCTCCATATATCTACAAGATCTAGTTGACTTTGGACATCGTTGATGAAATTTATCACAGATTTCCTAGGCATCATTAAGCCACCTTTTTTGTCCAGTGTAGGATTCAGAGGACAATTGAAATCACCTCCAATCACAATATTTTCTTCTGAATCTAAATTTTTGGTCTGCAACTTAGATAACACATTTTTGAGGAATTTAATGATGTCTTCGTCTTTGTTTGGTGCATAAATGTTTACGAGAACATACATTTTATCTTTGATAGCAGCTTTAACAATGATATACCTCCCCAATGTATCTACAATTTGAGAGTGAATAACGCAGTCAAGACCTTTTTTGATTAAGATTGCAACACCTCGAGAGTTTGAGCTCCCATGGGAGCAAATAAGTTCTGCACCCCATTCGTTTTTCCATTTTAACTGTGTTGACAATGTTGAATGAGTTTCTTGCAGGAATATTATATCCGAGTTTCGTTTTCGACACCACGTGAAAATTGTTTGCCTTTGTCTGAAATTGCTTAGTCCCCTCGCATTGAGAGATAATAGATTAAGAGAATGATCGGTCATTAGAGCTGAATCAGGGAAGTGGTATTATAGAAGTCATATAAAACGAAAATGAAATCGATGGTATAGCAGAGTGCAAGAAAATATAGTGCACATAAACGATAATATTCGCCCTAAAACAAATTATTAATCTACAGAAAAACATACAGGAACATATCAAGTAAGAAGTTTCCAGTGCACTCACATTTCTAATTAAACAGGGGTTAAATATTTTAACACTTATTACACATAAACCTTAAACTAAACTCAACTATTGATGTGCTGTCACGCTGTTACCGCTTTGGCTTTAGTTTCCGCTGTTTCTTGTGTCCATAATGAGACCGTAGTATGGGAGATTGGTTGTTTCTTCACCTCTGTAGATTTGCCCGTTTATAATTAGCTTATCAACTTTGAAATAGGCTGTTTACTTTTTCTGTTTGGCCTTTTTCAAGATGGGATATAACGTTTTCTGTATTTCATCAATTTCCCCGAGGGAAATCATTCGCGATTGAAATGTTAGTGTTTTTCAAGTTTTTAACAAAAGACCAAACATACTCCTTGTCTTGAAAGAAGCTAAATTTAGCTATAATAGGCCTAGGTTTGGAGTTCTGACCTTGACTGGTATTCTTCTTAGTAGGGATGCGGTGAATGCGTTCGAAACGGATCTGTTCGATATCTTCCTCTGGGATCTTAAGTTTATCGCGCATCACTTTTCTCAATTGATCTTCAGCAGAAGTTGACTCACCTCTTCCTTCTGGAATATTAAACACTTTTAGATTTTCACGTCTTGTGTATGCTTCTAACTTGATGTTGCGGAACTCAAGATGTTTTATTTTAGCACTGAGGTCTTCCAGATTCTTTGCGTGGGTCTCCAGTGTTGCACACGTGGCGGTTGAAGAGGAATTTAGGTCGTCAATGTCGGCTTGAGCGTTGTTCAGGCTTTCTTGTAAACTTTTATTTTCTTTTTCCAACTCTGCCACTCTACCTTGCATAGCCTCTAACTCGCCGAGTCTTGTTAGCACTTTGTCGAGCTTTTCACTGACTTCATCTAGTTTGGCAAAAGCCCCACGACAATGGCCGTCGGCTTCGTCGAACGCATCTTCCCCGTCAGTTTGTGAGCGGCTTTCCCTTAAC